GCTCGCGCCGCGTGCAATTGAAATTGCTGTTGTTGTTGTTGTTGTTGTTGCAGCTGTTGTTGTGTTGCTGCTGTTGTTGTGCAGATTTTCTGATTGTCAAACGACACCATTTGCGGAGCCTTGACGCATCTTGGCGCATCGCAACAGCTTACCCTTGAGGCAAAGATTTGTATAGTAACCATGACGGAAGGGGGGGTCCATTGTGCACGCTAGTTGTTGACCGGGGAGAACAGACGGGGTTTCAAGAGCTTTACCAACAAGCAGAGCAAGCAGCATGACTTGGCACAGGAGCAGTTTTTAATACCACCGGGGCCAAAGATTTTGGTCTTGGATTTTTGCAATCCTTCCACAAAAAACTCTTCCGACTGCTTGGCGGCTGTAGGTACCTCTAACGACTCTAACGTAGGCAGCGACAACCGACTATGCGCATCCGGGGGGGGACCTCCATACCTGATGCTCCTGGGATGGTACAGTCGGGGCTCCAGATTTAAGTTAGGCCCGCGAAACGAACTGAGGCTTTTCCATGGAAAAGCTTCGTACAAGCTGAAAGACGTTCAATTGCGACTGCGACCAGCTCCCAAACCCTCCAAGATGCTTAAAACCAACTCCGAGCTATAAAACAGCTCCACATTAGCAACGTGTACCGGGTATACTGCCCGCTGTTCTAATCCTATTCTATCCTCTAATACCATTCGGAGCCTCGTGTAGCAACGTAGCAAGCTGGCACTGGAACCACCCCGTAACATGCTGCACAAGACATTCATTGAACAACCAGAGTAGCCAGCCATAGCCAGCGGCAAGACACATCAAACGAGTTGCAAGGAGCTATGAAGCCCTTGTATAACCTTCTGTAGATCCAGCGAAAGCGACAATGGGCATGTGCATAATTGCGTAACCCTATCACTTTTGTTGTTGTGGTGTTGTCATTGTCAGCCAAAGGATTGACGGCTCCTGGTTGTTGGTTCCTTGTTGCCTTCGTTTCCGATCAGTGATGTTGATGATTCCAGATTCGTGGAGGCTCGGGCTGCCTTCCGGAAACGACGGAGGGGTATGTCCCAGTTGCGGAGCGCAAGAATGTCAGTATTGCAACTCGGCAGCAGTGTTTCGAAGTAATCCTGTGCAGACCTCCACCCATCCACCCACACCCCACACCCGCACCCTCACACCCCCACACTCGCACACCCGCACACCCCCACGCGCCACCTCCACCTACCCCGACACCACCACCCCTCGCTCCTCACGTATTTGGGGGGGGAGGTGTTACAGGGGGTCCCGGAGCGTTCGTGGTACATTTCCGGGTGCTGCTAGGGGTGGCCGGATGCTCGGTACATTATTCGGCTGGTCTAGGGGTCAGGTGGTCGTCATTTGGAGTTAAGGGCACAGCGTTTAGCGGCAGATTCTAGACCCACCAGTGTTCGTGGATCCCTGCCTCATTCATGCACAGTATTCGCTGCCGGTAGTGGCATACCCTTGTGGTCAAGTCCTCTTCGATGTCTTCCGAGCTTACACCTGCGCAACAAGAGGCTCAGGGGACTTAGGTAGATATCATGTGCCTACAGTGGGCAATGGTGGTCGCAAGTATCTATTTTTCGGAAGAATGCTTACTTGCAACTTATCTTTCTCTCTCTCCGGCTCTCTCGCTCTCGGTCCCTCTTTTTCTCCGAAAAACCCACCAAATTCCGACTAAGAGGCAGACTTAGACTGCTGTGGATGCGAGGTCGTCTGAAATATGTCGGGCCCCGCAACAAGAGCAGACCAGGATCCACGAATCACGACTACACGCGATGTGCTCAACAACTGCAAACTCGATCTCCAAACACGTCCGTGACACCCAGGGCCGCGGCGCGCTCTGGTGTCGGCCTAAGCCCTAAATCCTAAACTTTCAGCGGATCCATGAGCCCGCCACGGCCTTGGGTGTCACGGACCCGTTTGGAGAACTCCCTGGAACCACATCCTCGCCTGGGGAAACAAGCGGGACTGTGGCTTTGGACTCCGCCGCTTTTGGAGGCGGAAACACTGACCTCCAAAATGGAGCACCTGTCGAAGGGGAAAGAACATAAGGGGGACACAATGAAAGACAAGGGGAACAGACGGTGAACATAAGAGAATACTGAGCAAATAAAGGGAGCACAAGTGAAACATATATAGGGATAATGAAAAATAAATTAGAAGACACACAAGGAAACAAAAGCGGACAACATAAGGAACAATAAAGGGAACCATAAGGGGAACATACATGAAACAGAACGGGAAACAAATGAAAAATATGGGAAATGTAAGGGTAAAGTAAGGCCACCTCCATTTCCATCACCACCACCAGCGCCGGGTTCCGGGTTGAGGGGTCCGCAGAGGCCTGCTGCATAAAGGTGTTTGTGGACTTACGAGTTCTCGGTTGAGGTTGTTCCCCACCCCACCCCACCAGACCAGAGCAGGCGGGGCAGGCGGGCAGGCACAAGCCAGCAAACGGCCAGCAAGCAAAGCCAAGCAAAGCAAAGCCGAGCAAAGCAAAGCAACGCAACGCAACGCAAAAAAAGAGCAGAGCCGAGCCGAGCCGAGCCAAGCCAAGTAAGCAAGCCAGCAAGCCAGGAAGCAAGCAATGGGGTAGCTTAAAATGCATGAGCCCTTGTGCGCAGGACGGCTACACACTGCCCATTGGCTTCACCAATCCGAACTGGGAATCCGCCATACTCTACAACACGGTGGCTTCGATTCTCATCGAGGAGCTTCCATTGAACTCAGTTCTGATGTTTTCTCTCCTGTGCTGCCCATGCATAAAAGGAGATCATTGGCTTCAACACGAAGCTAGGGCCATTCTCATCCAGCTCCACGGGTACCTTCGATATCGCCGCCGACGACCCGACAGTCCACGTTGCCCAGGAGCTGTGGGATTATGCGCTGACTGCGTACGTGGCAAGCTACCCATGCCAGCAATTCGTCAGCTTTTGTGTTCTACCCTGGTGCACCAAGTTCGGATTTTTTGATCCTTCAAGATTTGTCATACCTTTCTCGCAGCAGGTTTCAACGCAGCAAATCCGGACAAGGCCCTGGACCGAGTGAAGGCATTGGACTATGCAGGGACAGACGGCATGTACATCTTCCCAAAAACTTATGAGCCATACTACGCAGACACGGGCAAGTCACTTGAGTTCTACAAGGACCTCAATGTCAGTTGGGGCAGCTATCAGAGCTACTTCTCCGACATGTCGGTCTTTACCAACCCTTCAGCCTTTGATGACTGCAGTCACCCATCAGCGGCATCCGACGGAATCATGGACGACTACATCAGGTTCACAGGTGATGTGGATGCCATTGTCACTGTCAACGGGCAGAGGAAGTGGATTTGCTACCAGGCCGTGAGCTTGTAAGTAGGGGATAGACAGTCTTGCACTGAGGGGTCGGGCATGTATATGGTTCCGATGCTCGGCAAGCCTCAAGCTTGACTCAAGCCTTCACGTTGGAGGAGAAGTGGTGGATGTCGCCAGCCTGCCGGGATGCGCCGATGACCTGTGCGCCCATGATCACGAACTCGTTCTGGCAGCTGGGATGTTAGCTAGATGCTGTCCAGCGTGATGTCCGCAAACTACTCATGACATCCAACATCCGACGACTTGTCAGGTCTTACAACCCGTCACGACAGAAGGCTGCTGTCTACAACATCGCCATGTCCATCGCTAACACTGTCGCGTATGGCGATTACACATCAATGCCGAAACAGCATAGAACCTTCTCATACTGGTGCCTGGCTCGAATCGAGGCAGTTGTTTTTTGATTTGTTGCCTTTTGAGGCGGATTGTGTGCAAGTCAGTGGGTTTTGTGCGTTTCGGACCTGCATGTGCAGGGTTTGTTCTGCTTGGGTCTGACATCTGCCAAGCACCGAAGCAAGTTCGTAAACTTTAAATGAGGCTGGTTTGAGCATAGCCGCAAACGAAGTTATCTGACAACGGATGATGCAGGATAGCTAGACATCGCCAGCAATGTCTATCGTGACAAGTCCTGGTGTTCAAATGTAATACTTCTATGGAAGTGCAACCGGACAAGCCCAGGAAATTTGCATGAGGCTCGGCAATCAAGGCACAGACCGGTCAACAGCCACCTTCCCAATCTTCCGAGTACGGTGGTGACATGTTGCCGTGACCCAGACCCACACTTCCCAGTCCAAGAATGTTCAAGTGTACAGCTGGTGGAAAAAGAAACTTGAGTGCCCAAGGCAGTACTTGAAGGACTTTGAAGCAATGTCGTCCTCATTTTATACACCTCATCCTAGCACTAGCAAGTATCACAAACTACATGGACAAGTTCAGCAGTGCAGCAACACAATATTCTGCAAGCCACTCACATGGTCTGCACGATCATTTCAAAGTGCAGTGCGAGATTTTGGAATCATCATGTTGGAGCCTCCACTGGTGGGTTTGTTCCCATGATGTCCATCACGGTTAGTAGGAGTGTGGAAGAGGCTCCTCGTCTGCGGTGCTTGAAGACGAATCCCCTTTTGACGTGTCAGGTGGGTTTTGCGGAGGTTAGTGGCAAGACATGCATCCTGTTGTCTCCACGCCCTTTCTTACTGCAGCTGGAAGGGCCCAAGAAGCACAGGCAGGAGGCAGACAGGGAGCCGACTAACCCGAGGAGCCGAGGAGGGAACCAGTAAAGTATCGTTGCCTAAGAGTTGAGTGGGGGCCGGGGGTGCTCAGCATATTTGACCACTCCAGCACTGGGAAGCAGAATCGACTCGAAGCTCGACAGTGCGTGTGGCCGTGCTTAGGTGGTCACCAGACATCACGTTCAAGGCAGACGGGGCCGTGAAGGTGATATTCCTCCCGTACAGAGAAGATGAATACCAAATTGGGAACCTCGGGCCAAGCTGTAATTTCATGATACAACACCTTAGCTGGTATCATTCGCTCATTGTGTCAGTGTCTGATTACACGGATGTTGTCACCGTCTGATAGCCATTTGAGGCTTCAATTTTGAGCGCACCCAGTCGCATTCAGACTTTGGGACGGCTGCGTCTTATGAGCACAGCTTTTCCAGTCACTACAATTCAGCTGTCTCGGCTTGTGCCTTTTACATCCTGCCAGACACTTGCTTGATGAAAAACACTGCTATTCCTGTATAGACACTACCTGGACGAAGGACGCCAAGAGCACGAAGTCAGTCAGTCTTGTGTGTCGTCAGAAGGCATCCTCCGATACCAACCCAAGGAAGTTCATCACCGACGTGAACGACGTCCCATTGCTGTCCTATGCGCATAAGCAGCTGGGAAGCTTGGCCCATCTGTGTCACGAGCCCGCTTTCGATGTAGAAGGTTCGGGACTACAAGCCCCTTGGGAGAGCGATATCGGAATGCCAACCTTTCGACCAGAAAAGAAAGTTGTTAAGGCATTGAAAGGTTAGCAAGCCTCGACAACTCAAACGGACAAACCACTCCAATGTCACTCATGGTGCTATGCAGTCGAAGCTCGCGAAATGACCAAAGTCGTCCACCAGATGTAATATGATGTTTAGGCCGACTTCAAACATAGATGAGATTTCGGTCAAGGAACTGCAGCGCCAGCCGTCCTGTCTATGCTGGGCGAAATGTGACTTTGCCAGGCATGTTATCACTGGGGCTGAATCGGATTTCGGAACCGTCGGGGTTCGCCTCTGGTTAGTTTACAAAATTGGAAGAACACATAAGAACATCGTCATGACTGACAGAGGCGTCCTGGAAGACGGCCATGACCGCTGCAATGCAACTACAACGACCTTTGCTTGGGTGCGGGAAAGTTAGACCCTGGAGCCAGAGTTCACCGGCAACAGGCCAACACGAATGTACACGGCTCCGGCAATTGCAGAAATCGTTGGGTTCTCGTTCTATCTTTTCAGCGCCGCGTATTGAAGGGCACCTGAAATGAGAGGACCATGTTGCACAAGGCATCGGAAGACTTCCGGCTCATACATGAAGCAGAAATTTTCTGGAAGCATGAACCCTGAATTCTTCTGTGGCTCTAAGGGCCATCTACAAGCCTGACGTGGATTGGCTGCTGGAAGAGGTGGTGTTTGGAAGATCACAGGGTGACTTGCACATGATCATCGTTCTGTGCGTGATTGGGCGGTTGGGTGCGGGGGTTGGATTGATTTTCTGAAGTACAAGAGACTCAGAGAGGTAGATTCCAGATGCAGTAAACGGCAGTAAACGTTTATGTTTTCTTGCAACCGAAGCATGCCATTAATGTGAGCTGGAACCCATGATCCAGAATGACAGTGTACTTGGTCGGAATTTGTTGTTTTATTTGCGCAGGGCTCTAGAATAGCTTGGTGTCAACCCGCAAGAAGTTCCGGGGCTGTAGCCTAACCTATCCCAAGGTGATGCCGACGCGCAGTATGCAGCAGCATGTCAGTGGGTGAAGGACAACGAGGCTTGCACCCGGCCGGATATGGCTTGTGCTTACTCTTCTTTCTCCGAAAGCAGGGGAGGGACCGAGGAAGTCTCCACGAGCTTCGAATCCTCCCTCATCCGACTGTGCCGCCAGGCCCGGTGGAGACGGTGGATTCCAATCGCGACGGCATGCAAGCGAACGAACCTCGGATTCAGCCAAACCGCCCAACCCGAAACCGTTTCGAGCAACCCCCAAGCAGCTGGACCATGGCACGAAGAACAGGAATGTGTTAGGCGAAAGCTCGGGATTGCACTGCAGCGTTTGTGGTCACGGGGGCATTGCTTGTCCATTTCAATTTGCAGGGGATCCCAGACTCCCAGACTTGTCTGCTGCTTGTGCAGTGGCGAGTGTCTTCAATGTGGAAACAATGATTTGACTCCTGAGGCAGGGCTACGGCATGGTGTCAGAGTTCGGGGAGTTCGTGAGTGTATCTTGCCTTGAGACATCGTGACTTGAGTGGCCGGATCCCGGAGGTTGGTTCTTCTGTCGGGAACGAGGCACGGCAAGTCTGAGCGAACCTGTGAATTGTGAAGCCGGGCTCTCCAAGCCCAAAGGTCGAAGTCTCCTGCAAGCACACAGAAACCCTCAAGGCAGCGAATGCGAACCTCCCAGTCCTCACCGTAACTTGCCAGTGTGACATTTTAGTTTTGACCGACCTTGCGCAACCAAGCTGCGAGACCCCCTAAGAAACTTTAGACATCCACTCGCCGAGACACGCTTGCCCGATGCTGCTGGATGTGCACTGTGCCTTGGCGAAGAACGCAACAGACTTCCCCCAGCACTCTAGACTTTAGCACTACTGAGGGCAGTTCTTCGATTCCGCACAAGTTTCGATTTGCCTATCCCTGCTTGCACCGACCATGCAAGTGTAGCAAGTGGTCTAGAGCCTGCTGCTGCAGGAACGTAGTCACTGAGTGACTTCGAACACCCTTGTTTTTTCATGCCAGGTGTGTGCCGGGACGATTTGCGGATGCTTACTCAGATGCTTGCACCATTCATTTCTGCCTCTGTGCATGTGGCGCATGCAATAGGGCAAAGTTTCATGGTACCTTTGAGTTGGCCGAGTGACTTTTTAAGCCTGCAAGCATCCACGACCCACCATATTCGGGAGGTGTGCGCATGCCAACCAGGAAGTGCACGGTTGCAAGCTAAGCACAGGACAACGATGGCAACTCAGCCATCTGCAACACCTGCGCCTTGGTGTGCCAGCGAGACAGATGACACTTGAGCTTTGGACATCTCGAGTTCTTCTTTCGGTCCTTGGTTGGTTGGAGTGACCACCACGCATCATCTGCACAAGTTGCAGGCCCCCAGGGAGCAGCTCAAGACCGCGGCGCCCAGACAGCCTGTAGCTTGCCAGCAGGGGAAAGGGGAGGTGAAAGGTCGTCTGGGCTGAAGCACCTTGCACGTTTACAAGATCATGGTTGCTTGCTTGCCTGACAAGTAAGTATTCCCAGCTGCTGATGCCTTCGCAAATCCACAGAGGGATCCTCAAGACCGTGGGGATCCGTCGCATTGACACTGCCCGGGTAGAACACGTGTGTTCGAAGTCACAGCGAAAGCGTTCCTTTTGTCGACTGGAAGGGGTCTTGTCACGTGGGACCGTCTGGCTGCTGCATGGACCATCTTGATTCATCCGTTGCCTTCGATATAGTCTTCCCCATCCATCCTGATTTTTCGAGATCCGGAGGTTCGATCAGAACTAGGAGGTCTCACACCTCGAACGGAAGGCTTGTACATAAGTCCCAGCAACGCTGACTTCACTTCGTCGGGATCTCTAAACTTCTCGTTTTGGGAGTGTTGCGAATCGGAGTGAATCGGGTACTAGTCTGAGATTGCCACCCAGATCGGGTTGTCCGGGATCCACACCAGTATAGTTTCCAAGCTTTGCGCTCACTGAGGCGAGCAGTGCGAAGCCGGAACCTACAGTTTGCCTACAGGTTTCTCGGTTCTGCACCCACATGTCAGTGGTTGATGCCCGATGCGAGAGCTTCAAGAAGGTGAACATGTGGGTTCAGTCATCGATGGGACTTTCAGTGCTCGGGAATCTGTGCGCGACAGAGCTCTTATTGAGGTACAAGGTGTGCCCGGTGCGGCAGAGGCACCTATCAGCGCAACGTGTCCCAGACAAGCTGCCTCAGCTGCCTTGCCCGCGCCCTAGAAAGTATTGGAACCTGCGACACGCCGATGAAGTGCTTCATTCAAGAGACCTTCTCAGAAGCTGGGGTCTTGGCACTCAAGTCAAACCGTAGCCGCGATGTTCTCCGCACAATCCCTCATCAAGCAAAGTCTCCAGTTGCCGATGATCCCGATGTCTTTGTTTGGCTTGGTCAAGTAACTTCTGACCCTGTAAGTTTTGAGCAGAGCCCAAAATGCTGTGAAGTCAAGCCGGACCCGAAAAATCCGCCGGAGGAGCCACAGACAACTTCGACTGTTGGCTCCACTTCACAGGACTGGATGGCCTGTTTCGGTTTCGGGCAGATGGGATTTCTCAACAGGCCAGTCTGGAGGCATCCTCCATAGTGCGTGTTTCCAACATAGACCAAGCTTTGGACGCCTTATGCATGGCTTCCTGCTCCGTGGGCGAAGCTTTCTCCAAGCTTGTTAGGAAGCCTGCGTCTGTCCCGCGGGCACGTTCCGTCCGTGCCACGACTTCGACAATGACGGTGCGATTCGACCGGAGTGCCAATGCGATCCTCGGCAGGGCAGGGGCAGGGCCGAGCTGCTCGAATCTCCTCGAAAGCCGAAGCCTTGGAAGCGGATGTCCTTACTTAGCCTTAGCCTTGCAAAGCCGGGCCCAGAGTCAGAAAAGTGTCGTGTCGGTTGCGAAGCCTTGAGTGCACTGACTCCGCTGCAACCGAAGCCAAGATAGACTCGATGCGGTGATGTGACATCAGTGCCGGTTTTCGTTAGAGAGCTGACCCTAATTACCCTGAAAAGTTGCATTTGGCCTCTTCTAAGGATAGATCGCTGTATGTACCAGCGTCTAGCATTGGACAGCGATGCTTGCCATGCCCGGAAGGCCCTGCGCTGCAGTTTGCGAACTTTTTTTTTTTTTTTTTTTTTT